ACATATGGACTATTTCGTGTTTTTTCTTTCATGCCCATCCGGCTCTGTCCCCTTTATTATTAGAACAGGATACGTGGACTAAAGTTTGAACGACATCAACTTGTAATATCTTAAGAAAAACGGAAAATGTTTTTGAAATTCAAGAAATAAGCTGTTAATGATATAAAATAGATATTTTAATCTTCAAAATTTCCATACACAAAAAATAGATTTTCCGTGTAGACCGGCTATAATTAAAAAAGAAGTAAGGAGGACTTTGAATGTCATATTTTGAGAAAGATATTACAAAAATATATTTCAATCAAGAGGGCACTGTAGGAGATTTCTTGAGTTCTATTTTCCGTTTCAGAATTTCGACATTTATTTTTTGTACAAGTTTTAAATCGAAACAGAACATATTTGTCCATTGACTCATATGTTGTTCAGTTCTGTCTACGTAAATACATATATGTTTTTTAAGCACTTTTCAAAAGAAAAAAAAACCCCCCTTGGAAGAAATTTATTTTTTAAACGAAATTTAGAATCAACTGTGACAATATATCTTTAATTAAAAAAAACCATTCCCCCTCCCCTCAAATAGACGAATTGTAGGTACCTTGCGATAATACGTATATTTTCCCGGTATAAAAGAACTTGCAGTGGTCGTCTGTTGAACAGACCCAAGTTAGGAACCAATAGACTACTTTCGAGTTCGTTGCATTTCCGTCAAAAACTTTGGTTTTAATGAACATCATTCGTGCGTTTAGGGGCATCGTCACTTCCTTCCCATGTTGAGCAAGCGGTTGAACAAATATGATGCTATATTGCACGAATTATTCGACAAATTAAATTCTTATAATTGATAATCAGCACTGCTGTCGTTAGGGAATTGTGATTAAGTACCTACGGAACAAACATTATTTCCTGCATAATGACGATCACGAAGACGCTTGCTGAACTTTAATAGTGCAGGGATACAGGCGATCCCTTGGTTCATTCTGGCTATTCCTACATTTTGAATTTTATAGGTAAAATAGTAAAATTTTATGTTGGAGTTTCCAGAATTTTTATGTAAACAATGGGATTATGTAGGATTGTGTTGTAACAACACTAAACTAATGAACCAAGGTAAATCCAGGTAAATTTTGTGAAAAATAAAGAAAAAGAATAGTTTCTATTACAATATTTTATTTAACAGTTTCATAGCACATTTTGTGTAAATAATATTCACAAGCACAATATGAAATCATAGGCACAAGGTCATTCACAAGCAATTGAATTTATTTAGGTGAAAATATTAATATATACAAGTAAATAATATCATTTAAAATATAAATATATTAAAATGGTTGTAATTATTCATTCAAACAAAGCACCGAAAAGTACACTAAATTGACATTAAAACAGACACTAACATAGTCAAACATTGCACTAAATTGAACACACACGGGAATACAAAGTCTTAATCAATGTGCAGTAGATGAGAAGCAGCATCCCTATACTGGACTCGCGTAAGTTTATCATTCTGTAACCTTGTTTTTAGTGTTCGAATATAAAAATTAGAAGATGTGGTATGATTGCAAATGAGACAACTCTCCACAAGAGACCAAATGACACAGAAATTAACAATTTTAGGTCGACGTACGGAACATACAGAATGTGGCGGGGTTAAACTCGTTTGAAGGCGCCAACCCTCCCCTGGGATGGGACAGTGGTGTAACAGTACAACATAAGAACAAACTATAAAAATCGGTTGAAAAAGGTTTAACTCATCAGATGGATACAAATAGAAATACATCTAACAAAAACACAGAGTGGACGTGGACGGGTACTTATACATCCCCACAACAAAATGACACTAAGTACAGATCTGAGAGTACTCGCAGTTACTGACAGCTATTTCAAAGCCAATAACAACTAATAAAAAAATCATGCATCTAAGACTAAAATATCAATCAGTACACGTCCAACATCCAATGGATTTAGATTAAAGGCGTCATAAAGTCTGTCATCTATTTCTCTGTATTTTCCCTTTTTTGGAAACCTTCTGTTTTTGTTTAAAAAATCATATTTTTTTCTTCAAATAATGAAATTAATTAAATCTTTGAAGCTAAAGTTGAAAGTGAAGGTTACTATCAAATGCTTTAACTACCTTTTCTTTCAAATAGTTTCTTTTCCAGACTTTTAGTCTAAATGCTTTTACTACTTGTTCTTTTAAATAATTTTATTTTCCAGACTACGTAATGCTTTTACTACCTTTTCTTTTAAATGATCTTATTTTCAAGAAATTCCATATAAGAAACACTTACTTATAACACTTGATACATGTTTTCAAACAAACAAAAAAAGACAACCATTTTTTTTTACATAAATTTCATATAAATAATTATATTTATTTAATTTCCACAGGTAAAGTTACCTGTGACCTAATTAGACACTAATAACTAAAACAACATATTTTGCAATAACAACATCTATTGTTCTTCCCATAATCTCCCATGTAGGAATAGCCAGAATAGTAAAATATAAAATGTAGGAATAGCCAGAAGACACCGATCCCTTCTATCTGGTAAATGACGTCATAAAGGCACGCATAATTGACGAACTTTTCCGGTGAAGGACATAACTCGAAAGTAGTCTATTATATAAAGACGGACATATTACACCACTGGCCGGTGAGATATATATATATATATATATATATTGATCTTTAGGAGACGATTTCACGGGTATTTTTGGGGGAGGTAGTATGATTTTTTGCGGATTGAATATTCATTTTTATCTGTTGCTACGCATGCTTATTGTTTTTCCTCGGCTTTGATTAATTTCACTTTTGTACACAATCATTTCCTGCATCTTGTGTTGCAGAATATTTTATTTTCATCCAGTCTTGGGCAAGATTGTTTATTTTTAGTTCTTTCCAGGCCAGGATATACATTTTCAAAATCATCAGAAAATGGTCGTCCCCTTACTATGGATGTAACGTGCGCAAATGAAAAGATAATAATGTGACATGAGCGTAGGAATGCACTCGATCGGCTCTTTAACGACAAATTGACTCTTGGAAACACGTTTGGTGGTTGGTGAAAGGCAGACACGCGTTTTTAAAGAGATGGCTAGGAAAAAAAAAATCACACGACAAATATAAAAGGAAGATGATCTATACAGTTTGTTTAAAATAGGCACAAATAACAATGCGTATCTACGAGTCACCAAGTTGGACTTGAACCCACATACAAGAACATCCATGTGAAAGAATATTTTTATACTTAACAGTGAAGACTCATTCGTGTACGTGTTTAGGCCTACATTGGTTCAAAATTGGAATGAAGAAAGGTGACACATGTATAACTTATAATATAAACCTGGTTTTCATGTTATTAAAATAAATGTAAAATATTAAGAGAGTTGTGAAAATTGAAAGAAATGGTTAAAATATAGGGGTTTTGAATTGGTGGTTTGACACCTTAGGCTTATCGCATTTGTCTTCGTCAACACATAGCCATCGTTTCCGATTATGTCAGTTGAAGGGGAACCATTTATGGTATGTCAATGATATTTGGTGTGCAGTTGTATTAGGAATAAAACCACTAATTCATAGTTTTATTGCTTTCTATGTTAAATTTTGCAATTGCAAGCATTCATAGATAATTTGTCTTAAGTTTAAATAAAGTTACAGTCATTTTATATACCTTATCCTCGCTTGTGCAGAAAAATTGACCATAATCTAAAAATAACTGTCTCTGGTTAGGGTGAAGGTTGGCGCCTGTTAAAACGTTTAAACCCGCTGCATTTTTATGCACATGTCCTAAGTCAGGAGCCTGTTGTTCAGTGGTTGCCGTTTGTTGGTGTGGTTCATAGGTGTTTCTCGTTTCTCGTTTTTTATATAGATTAGACCGTTGGTTTTCCTGTTTGAATTGTTTTACACTAGTCATTTTGGGCCTTTATAGCTTGCTGTTCGGTGTGAGCCAAGGCTCCGTGTTGAAGGCCGTACTTTGGCCTATAATTGTTAACTTTTTATACATTGTGACTTGGATGGAGAGTTGTCTCATTGGCACTCGTACCACATCTTCTTATTTATATAATAGATAGAGCGAAACTTTATTTAAAAAAAATAATCAGCAAGACTATATCTACAAAAAATTCAATTGGCTGAAATCGTCAGGGGACTCGTTATTGGAGTTATTGCTCTTTAATGACGATTTTTACCAATATTTGGGCATTTTGGCCTTTAAACTTGACAATTATAATAGATAAATAGAAACTTTCAACAGCAAAAATGATCAGCAAGACAAGATCTACAAATAAGCCATCACGGCTTAAATCTTAATTCGACTCTTTAATGGAGTTATTGCCGTTTAAATGAGATTTTCACCATTTTTTTTAGTTTTTGCCTACTATCGTGAAAAGTATGATCGATACAAATGAAGATAAAAACTTGAAATAGCAAAAATGATCAGTAGGACAAGATCTACAATATGTCAACATGACTGAAATAGTCAGTCTAACTTTTATAGAGTTATTGCCCTTTCATGATGATTTTTACCAAAAATGGCCATTGTTGAAGATGCAGATGAGCGACACATGCACTTTAGAGCCTCTAGTTTTAATTGGCCTCAAAAGGGATTTTATTGCATGGTGGGGGTCACGACGGGTTCATTTGTGTAACAAAGTTATTTCTTTATGCATGAAGTTTAATAGATCTTAACACTTTAATATTAGTTGTTTAGGAAGTAAATCAGTGTTTAGTGAATAAATACCGATTGATGCTATAGAACATTTCGTGATGTCATTTCCGTATCTTTGCAGGAGCAAACTTGTCTTCTTTCAACCCATTCATAGCAACTGAATAGTACTATAGCAGGATATCACAGAAATACTGACAAATAGGCATGTCGTACATTTACTTGACGTGTTATTATGAAAAATCAGTATTTCATGACACTGTCTAGATTGCTTTAGTACCGGTACATAAAATGAGGCTTCTTTATAAATATGAAGAAATTGAGATTTTAACTTACCTTGGTGTGTTGATCGTGTATTTAAAGCAGGAAGAATTCAACAAAATTTAGAGGCGTTATTTCATTGGTCTTATTTTTACCGTGTTCGCGGAATGATATTCTAATTCTTAAAATTTACAATTTGTAATCTATATATAGTTATCACAGACACATTTAGATTTTTTTAAAAATAATCATACATATTATATCAGGGTCTGGATGGGGGTCCTACATATTATATCAGGGTCTGGATGGGGATCCTTTATTTCTAAATTCTAAATTTCAGCACCCCATTCTCTTATTTTGCCCATGATTGACATGATTATTCTCTATTCTTTATAAGGGGGTTTTATATTTCAGCACCCCATTCTCTATTCTTTATATATCAGCACCCCATTCTGTATTCCTCATATTTCAGCACTCCATTCTCTATTTTTTTTTGCCAATAGCGGTAGATTTAAATTTTGCTACAGGTGTTTATGCCACTTACACAGCAAAGAAGAAACATAAAGAGTATATATTGCGTTAACCACAAGGCAGTTAAGATCGAGATGCCCGGTAAAGGAGCCTACCAAAGCTTTGAGAAGCACACCAGATCGACGAAAGTTCCTTTCTCGGTTTAGGCAGACTTTGAGTGCTTTACCGAAAAAGTAGAATCCAAACCAGAGGAAACCGTTGCAGACAAACCACACACCAAAGTGTATCAAAAGCATATACCATCGGGATTTTGTTATTACATTAAATGCTTTGATGAAAGTGTCTTTACTAAGGAGCCGGTACTTTACACTATGCAAAAAGAAGGAGAAGATGTGGCGCAGATTTTTGTTGAAAGACTTGAGAAAGATATCAAAGCCATTTACTCCGAGAATGACTTCAAAAAACCGATGGTGATGACGACGGATGATAAGAGTGATTTTAAGCCTGCAACACAGTGCTGGCTCTGTGACAACGCTTTAGGAGAGGACAAAGTCAGAGATCACTGTCTCTTCACCGGTAAGTATACAGGTGGAGCACACAACGAGTGTAACTTGAAGAACAAAGTACCAAAGTTTATACCCGTGTATTTTCATAATCCAGCTGGGTATGACAGTCACCTTTTCATTAAAAATTTAGGTGTAACAGAAGGACTAATTACATGTATTCCCAACACCGATGAAAAATACATTTCATTCACCAAAAGGATTCAAGTAAGTAAATACAAATCAAAGGATGGTAACATGAAACCACTGTACCAACATTTGAGATTTGTAGACAGCTTTAAATTTATGAGTACGAGTTTAGAAAAAATAGTAAAAGCAACCCCTTGTGAGGATTTAAAAAATATGGAAAAAGTGTTTGGTGACCTACCGCTAGATCCTGAATTGTACAAGGTTTACCCATCTACCTCAGAAAACAATAGAGTCATTCAACTACGTGAAGTTATTGGTAAACGTAAAATGGAATACATTGTGTCCCATCCAGATGATTTTGAATTGGGAAGTCGATGCATTAACGGGGTTAAGTTGGAAAAGAATGATGCACAATTAACATTAATGAAGGATTACTTGTCAAGGGCGAGGAGAATGTGTAATGAGATATTATCAGAGAAATAGTTTTGGTAGATACTGGACTAGTGAAAAATAGGTATTCAAAACATGAGTCGGAAAATCAGACACACCTTGTGTTCAGACATCATGTATGACATTGACATGAAAAATGCTCATCCAACTTCACTGTCATGGTTTTGTCATGACAATGGAATCGAATGTAAATGATAAGATGCTTATATTGAACATCGAGAAGAGTACTTATAGCTATTTTAATGAAACACACAGGTAAAACACGTGATGAATGTAAACAAGACACTTTAGCCATCATTGATGGTAGACGAGTAGCACAAAACAAGGATGATCCTGAATGGTACAAATCTTACTGTAATGAGATTAAACACATGACTGAATCCATCATTGCTTTACGACCAGACTTACATAAATTAGCTAAACAATCTAAAAAAAAGAAAGATAAGAAAGAATAAAACATTGGAGGAACTACCGTTAATTCCATTATGTGTTTATTAGAAAACAGAGCATTAATGATTGCTTTTGACTACTTATAAAACAAACATAGAAGTAGGTGCTCTTGTGTTTGATGGACTCATGGTTTACCAAAAGGATGTACCAGAAGAAATGCTACCAGAGTTACTTGAGAAATGTTCTGCAGAAGTAAAAAAGGTGATGGGATGTAATATTACATTTACTAACAAAGTTATGGATGAAGGGTATGATATACCCCTGGACGCATCATCAACACAACATGTGAATGTAGAATTGCTTTTGCAAAAAGGTATATACCCCTATGCTTATATGGATAGTTTCGAGAAGTTTCAGACCACTAAGTTACCATCTAAGAAAAAGTTTTACAATACCCTCACTAATGAGGATGTGAGCAAGACTATGCCTACTATGCGACGTGTTTGAGAAATTCAGAGATCTTTGTTTGAAGATTTATCAACTCGACCCCGCTTGGTATTTAACAGCACCGGGTCTTTCTTATGATGCACTATTGAAGATTACCGGTATAAAGCTTGAGCTTCTGACAGATCCGGATATGCTTTTGATGTATGAACAAGGGATTAGGGTAGGAGTCACCATCGCAACTCAACGCTATGCCAAAGCTAACAATTCATACATTGAAGGGTATGATGATAGCAAACCAACGAATCTCTTGATGTACGTGGACGCCAACAACTTGTATGGATGGGCTATGAGTAAGCACTTACCCACCGTTGGGTTCACGTGGATCACTCCCGATGAGATTCCAGCCCTGGAGACCCACACTGCTGAAGACGATCAAGGATATGTGTTGGAGGTAGATTTGGAGTATCACAAAGAGCTTTACGACTATCACAATGACTACCCACTGGCTCCGGAAACTTTACAGTTGAACAAAATGAGAAACTAGTGCCAAACCTTGGAGATAAAGAGAAGTATGTAGTACACTATGTTAACCTGAAACAATACCTCGAAATTGGACATAAGCTGAAGAAGATTCACCGAGTGATTAAGTTTAACCAAAGTCCATGGATGAAAAAATATATCGACTTGAACACCACCTATCGAGCCAATACCAAGACGGATTTTGAAAGAGATTTCTTTAAATTATGAACAACTTGGTGTTTGGCAAGACAATGGAGAACATTAGAAACAGAGTGGATGTTCGGTTGGTTAACAATGAAAAACAAGCGCTAAAACTCATTGCTAAACCAAACTTTGATCGTCGGGTTATTTTTAGTGAACACCTAGCAGCTTTTCACATGCGAAAAACAAAAACAGTATTTGACAAACCGATCTATTAAGGATTTTCGATTCTTGACTTATCCAAAAAATTAATGACAGACTTTGTTTACAAATACCTGAAGCCAACATACAAAGACAAAGCGACCATCTGTTACACAGATACATACAGCATTATTTGTAATGTGGAAACTTCAGATGTTTACAAAGACATGAACGAACATGGACGTCAGTGGTTTGATACATCGAATTACCCTAAGAATCATTCATCTGGAATAAATACAGCATTAAACCTTAAAGTTCTTGGGATGTTTAAAGATGAATGTGGTGGTAAACCAATGAGTTTGTTTGTAGGGTTACGTGCAAAGTTGTATGCTTTCAAGGTGGGTGACACCGAATCAAAGAGAGCTAAAGGGGTGAAAAAGAGTACTAGTAATGTGAAATCCGGACTCACATTCGCCGACTACAAGACATGTCTAGATACAAAGATAGTTACCGAACCATGAATATGTTTAGAAGTCTTGGACATCAAATCTATACACTTGAGTGTCGTAAAAAAGCTCTTTCAGCTGATGATGACAAACGATACATCTTACCCAATGGTATCAACACCCTGGCACATGGACATTATAAAATTAAGGAGGTCCAACTTAGTAAGCAAACAACATGAATTTTTTAGTACCCATTGATGGACCCATTGGAATTGGTAAAAGTACATTGTTAGATTCGTTAGCAAAAGAAACAAAACATGTGTGTCTTCCAGAACCAGTATACGCTTTTAGAAGAATTTTACACTGAAATTGGTCATAAGAAAACAGGTGTTTTAGATAAAATTGAGAATGGAAATGGGGAACATGTCAAAGAGACAACAACCCGACCAAAGAGCAGACAACAGCCGAAGGTAGAGTATGCATTTGCATTACAGTATCAAATTTTACTCGCGCAAAAGGAATTAATTCGACCCGTCTGGAATATAACACATTCAATGATCATAGAAGAACGGGGGTTATGGTGTAGTCGACAGATTTTCGTAGAACAATTAAAAGAAATAATGGTAGATGGATCGTTTAACCTGTTAGATTATTACTATAATTTGTGGACGCGTAAACCCGGTGTGCTTATTCTATTAACAGCTCCACAAGACGTTATTTTTAATCGGATTATGAATCGTGGAAGAACAGCAGAGAAAAACGTTTCGAAAGAATATTTGCAGATACTTATGACAGCGTATGACAATTTAGTAACACTTCATCCTTGTGTCATACAAGTGGACACAAATTGTTGTGTTGAAGATGTCTTGGTAAAAGTAAAAAACGATTATTGAGGTTCTTTGCTTAGAACAACAACAATTACAAAATCGAAAAAAATACCTTAGAGACGTGTGTTGGTAAAAGTAATAATGCCTTCAGTATCTAAACCCATTTCGTGTCAAAACAAAAAAATAAGAAAAAAGAAGCATGTAGTTACTACTACTACTACAATGAGCATAAGTATAAATTAGCTGATATTAAAAAAAGACTTCAAGCGCGTTTAGAAACTAGACAAATAAATGATACGCCTTCACAACATTGTACTTCCCAACACACCTCTGTCCAACAGTGAGTTGGAAAAAGCAGTTAAGTCTCTTAAGATTTCACATTTTAGAGGTGTTTTTATGCGAGATACGTTACCCAGTCACCCTCAACATAAAGAGTGTGGTATTTTAAATCAGATTCACGATACCTTAAGGGGACCGGGAACCCATTGGACGTGTTGGTATAAAACGACAACTAGCAAAGTGTATTTCGACTCTTACGGACTTCCACCCCCGACGAAATGGTAAATTACTTAAAACCTAA